GAGGAGAATTTTTTTCCTTTTTTTTTTTTGCTAAAAATGGCACAAAAAATGAGCATTAGATATGGAGGGAATTATGCAAGTTGTCATATAGGAAAGGAATAAAATAATGTGATTAATAATCACATGTTAATAGGTCGCTTAACACTTGGCAAGTTTATAAGCCTCATTGCCTAAGATTTGCACAATTAGAAGAAGGATGAAATGGATGGTTAGATCATGAGCAAAACACCCATTGTAATTTTGATCAACTTCAAGGGCAAAAGCTTAAATACAAGTCTATAAATACCCCCTCTAAAGCCCACAATTTTGTGCAAGTAAGGAGACATAGAGGGGAGGAGGTTTTACTCTTGAAACAAAGAGAAAGAAGAGAGAAAAGGAAGAGGAGAAAGTGCAAGAAAGCTTGGCGAACTTCAAGTATCCATCCAGAGAAAGTTCAAGCTTCCATTAAGGTTTTAATTTTCATGATGTGGGCTTGATTTAAATTTAGTTTTGATAGAGTTTAGTAGCTTAAAAATCTATAAAAAGTTGCTAGCCAATTTGGCTCAGAACATGGCATGATTGAATGGAAGCTGAACTACGGATTACTGGTTAGAAATGGATGGAAAACTTGCACTTGTGCTTGATTGATGAGAAAATTCCAACTCCCTATGGTTGTATATATATCTCAGCCTTGAGGGTTTCTTAGGGTTAGAGTTTGATTTTTATCAATTTGATACTTCTAATGTGTTTTAATGGTAAAATTGTATAGGAAAACACCAAGAAAAAGTATTTGGAAGCATTGGTATTGAAAATGAAATTTATAATCCCCTAGACCCTACCTCTTTGCCAAGCGGAATTTTGTAGGGAGGGATTAGATTTTGATAAATCTAAATGAAAATATAGATTTTACGTGAAAAATTATATAGGAGAGACATATGGTAATGTCGACGAGAAAGAGAAAGAAATGACCCTAAAATTAAAGGAAAGGGTTAAGGAAAATTGAAAAAGTTTATGTATGGAATTGTTTGCAATGTGGAATGCCCCTCTTAAATGCTTAATAGGCAATTGGCATTGGCAAGAGAAGAGCTCCAAGAGCAAGGAAGGGAAGCAAAGGTCAGAACTTTAAAGAGGTAGCAAGAACCTATAACTTAATGTCAACTTGTTTTGTGTGTTGTTTGCTATTCTTGTTATGTCATGAGATGGTTGAGCTAGATGTGTTATGATGTGTGAAACTCCTTGTATTTGATGCCTTGGCAATATGTATAGTTGAGTTGTGGAATAGAACAGTATGATGGCATGCTCCCTTTCCATGGCACAATAATGAAATAATATGCATGAGGTGTGCATAGTGAACATAATGATGCATGAGATGTCTATTGATATATAGCATGACCTGCATTACATTGTTGATATTTTGTTATGGTTCATTGTTACTGATATTTTTATGAAATATCACCCCTTCCATATTGAAATTAAAACAATTAAAGGTCGACTTATCAAGAGGCAGAGGAAAGAAAATGGAGTTGGCATGAAGAATTCCTTGAATAATGATGAAACTATGTACTCGAGACTTATTCTATAATGGCTATGTATGAATGACATAATGGCTCTATTTATATGCCATTATGTTTGATTTATAATTATATGATTTGAGAAAAGCAAAAATTCTGAGAAAAGGTATAATAAGGGGATAAAAATGACCTAATAAGGGTCAAATTTGGTAACCATGTAAATATGAGTAAATGGTGGAATTTTGTCACGAATTTTGGCAGGCTATTCAGATATCATTTTAAGCTTTAAAATAAGTGGTAATTTATTAAAATTGAAGTTTTGTGCAAAAAGTTATACCTATATAAAATTAGACGTAAATTCTGAAAAATTAAAAAATGACCAAATAAATAGTACCATTTTGGCTTAAAATTGAACTTGAATGGAAGGGTAGTGAGACAAGTGATTATTTTTCCCATGCAGAAAATTAATAGAGATTCAAATCAAACTTGAAATCACTGCATTTTGATTTTTTTTTATAATTAGTTATGATTTATCAAAATTAGTTAAAATTTTAAGATTTGTTATAAATAGTAACCCGAAACAAAGTTTGTGAAAATTTGATTTTCTAATCTAATAGCCAACAAATATGATTTCAAATGCTTCCATTTGATACATTATTGGATACAAAAGTAAGGTGTTACAAAATCCAGCACAAAGGTTTTTCATTATAAAACTAGTAAAAGAAAAATCCATTCCTTATTTCGTAATGAAGTTGTTGCCGACAACCTTCTTAGGATTATTTAGGGAGGAAATCACATAAGATCTAGGTTGAATCAAAGAAGGCTATGATTTGAGGAAGGAAAAAAGGGGAGGGAATGAGAAGAGAATCACTAAACTAAGGAAGTTCATCTATACCTTTGTCCAATTTGAGGATCGTAAAATTGGGAATAAAAAGAGAGGCCTCTTGTGTAATCAATAGCGAGAGTAATAGCCAGCAATATAAGTAATTAAGTCCTGAGTAATCGACATTGGGAGCAATAGCCGATGTCTAAAGAAAAAAGAGGAAGGAGATGAGGAGAGGAAGGAGAGGAGAGAAGAGAAGGAAAGAGAATGAGGAAGAGAAGAAAAAGAGGAGGGTGTTTTGGTCTTTTAGCCATCATTTCATAATTACAATTTAAGAATAGGTCACTTCAAGCAATTATGTTAATTCAGGAACCTCTTTCATAATTTTATACATTCAATGGTTTTTATTTGTGATTTTTCCTTCTTTATTTGTGACTTATTTATAATTTTCTCTTGAAAAAATTAGAGCTTTTTATCGGGAGCATAAAAATATGCAAAGAAAAGATTTTAGTTGTTATTAAGTCTTTTGTCTTTCTCAAAGAGAAAACTGACCATATTGTTTTGATGAGATTTATCGGGTTGAAATCTCAAAGTTCAAACTTAAAAATTTTTATTATGTAATCTTTTAAATGATAACTTTATTTCATGAGATGTGCTTTTGTCATGTTGTTCATAAGTGATTCCAAACAAAACTTAAAAATACGATTAGAAGTAGAGAGATATTTGTAGACATTTCGTAGATGGTGAAGGCATAAATTGCTGCAAGTGAGAAAAAAATTTCGGGTATTACTTATTCCTCTTTTGGAATGCAAATTATTAACATTTACCTAAAAAGTGAATGAAAAAAAAATTCACTCCCATTACTATAAAGTCAAATTTTTTTTTTTTAATATTGTTGAATTCTTTGATCCTCCTATAATATTTTAATATTATTAAAAATTTAGGCTAACCGTTGATCCTTAAATCAGTAACTCCCCAATTGGCTTTTTGTGCAAAAAGCTAAAAACAGTAGATCACATTACTAATATGCTACATAAGCAAAATCATTTACCTTAATGCCACAATCAAACTCATTCTTAAAGAGCTCGGATTTAAGAAAATAAAGAAACTCAGTTCAACGAGTTAACGAGTTTCACATAAATGCTTTTCTTAAATGGGTGACTGGAGTAACCTACCACCTATTTTCAAAGGTTTCAAAACATCTCTCTTTCCATTCTATGCTCATCGTCACTCTTCCTGAACTGACCTCTTCAACCCCTGGATACACATGTACAGTGTCTACAAAATACTAGCTAGTAACATTTTCAACACTTATATGAAGTATAACATGTGCAAAAAAACTAAAACTAAAAAAAGAAAATTAACAATTTAAAAATAAGTTAAATATAATTAACCACTTTGAATTATTTTTTCAATAGCACTAAATATTCTAAACTAATTTTTGATGCATTCAATATTATAAAACATATCATATACTAAAATTTGATTAAGTAGCATCCAACACTAAAAATATTTTTTCAAAGTCACCGAAAATTAATCTCTTTTGTCTGGCCACCAAAAATTAATTTAAAGTATTGAGTGATACTTTAAAAACACTTCAGTACATTGGATGTTACTTAACCAATTTTTAATATAAAATATTTTTTAATTAAATTTTTTTATATTTTTATATATTTTATATCAAAATATATCTTATGAGATCGAATAGAATAATGAGTACTGTTAAAAAATATTTTAAATACTGGATGCTAATTAATCAATTTTTAGTATATGATATGTTTTACAGTGTTGAATGCATCAAAAATTAGTTTGGAATATTTAGTGCTATCGAAAAAATAATCTAAAGTGGTGGATGATATTTAACTCATTTTTAAATTGTTAATTATCTTTTTGTAGTTTTAGTTTGTTTGCATACGTTATATATACTGCATATAAGTGTTGAAAATGTCGATAGTTGGGGATTTTGGAGACACTGTATGTTCGTATCCAGGCAGGAAGGGCAGTGAAAGGAGAGTGACAATAGGCATAGACTGCGAAGAGGGGTTTTGAAACCTATAAAAATAGGTGGCAGGAATAGCCTGTCACCATTTTTATTAAAATAAAAAATTAACAAAACAATTATGTACAAACAACAAGTTTCTTGATTTCTTGAAGTCAAGCTCCCAAGAACGAATTCGATTGTAGCAACTAGGCAAATAATTTTGTTTACGCAGCATCTTGATAATATTATTTACTGTTTATAACATTTTACTCAAAAACCAAAACACCCCCCCCCCAAAAAAAAATCAATGCCCAATCCGGTTTTAAAAACACTGGTAATTTTCCCAGTTTAAAAACAAGATGCTGCCAGGATCCCACCTCAAAACTCTTGACACGGAACGAAGAATCAAAGCAATCAGAATCAACTGGACCCAAAAAACAGAAAAAAAGAAAGGAAAAAAAAACCCTTTTTTGGAAAAAAAGAAATAAATCAAGACGATTCGAACCCTTTATCACCTGAGCTAGCTTCAGGTGGCATAGAAAACCATATATTTCCCTTACAAAAGAATGAAGTCAAAAGAAGTTAATTAGTATGGCAATGTTTCTAAATACAACCCCAACGTATAGAACGATTAGCCACAGAGCGTAGGTTAAAAAGATGAGAACCACAACAGTAAAGCCAAAGAATTCAGCAGTGAATTAAACTATTTACCAAAACTAATCATAGGATTGGTTATAATTTTCATTAACTCATTAAGAGGTCTAGCTACAAGTGTTGTGAAAATACCTCAAGGCTAGGATACAACCGGTTGTGTGACCATTAAACAAGAAACTGCAAAGCTGGTTGGGCAGTTCAACTTCTACTTAAGAACACTCGGCCATCTCACAGCCTTGCTCATCCACAAAATCCAAATCTAAGTCCAGTTTCGGAGAGTTCCCATTTGAAAACCTATTATTCACTCTCCTGTTCCTTAAAATCACCTCTGACTCTTTCATCAACTTGATGTACTTTTTCCTCACGCTCAGTAGAGGATGCTCACCTATAGCTGATCTATTCCTGTAAGCTTCCTTAAGAATCGCTGTACAAGTTTTGTTCCTAAGAGACAGATAAAATATATGGGGATGCCGTTCAAACGCCTTGTGCACTTTCTGTGGCAGCCCCAGATGTTTCTTAAGGCAGAAGAGCGTCTTCCTCTCAGCAGAGTGTTCAACAAAAAGGGAAAACAGTTCATGAAGAAGCCCAACAAGTCGCTTCTCTGCTATGTCACTGTCCGGATCCAAATTTGAGAATTTCTCATAAGGTGAAACATAAGGAAGCTTTTGAAATTCATTAAGCCAATTCTCAATCTTCTTCCTCAGCCTTAAACCTTTTGATGGAAAAAGTGGAAACTCGATGGCCTCCATTGAGTCACCAAAATAACAGCCTCTCTTCATGGCATTCAGCTGCACTGTGGACCAAACTTTTTCTTCACTTTCTACTGCCAATCCCGTCAATCCCTCAGCCATGTCTACAAACTTGAATGATGCATCAAGATTCCGCTCTGGATACTGCAAGAAATCATCAGGCAATCCTAGATACCATTGCATCCCTTTGATTATTTTTAACGGCAGAACATTGTCTCTGCTCATCATTATCATCTTCTTTAACCTAGCTCTTAAGTCCTCCTTGAACTCTTCATAAACTGTTTCCTCTTCTCTGTGAATCAGGGCAGCTTCCGAAGTCAACCTGAACCAAGGAAGATTGTATTCAGGACCTGTAAACTCCTCAAAAATGGAAGGATATTTCCGCATAAATCTTGCAACCTTCATGGGCACACCTAACTCTAATCCCCTCTTAGAAACTGCAGAGATTGGAAGACAACCATTTGGGTCCTGGGCAATACAGTTTTTGAGGGCTATGACAGGTTTTAGTGGAATGGACTGGTGGATGTGCTCAATTGAGTCATAGTATGAGTCTTTCTTCCATTTCATGTACACATCCACATAATTGCATACCTGGATGTGCAAGAAAGGATGTTTTGGAGTCCTATATATAAAGGAGAATATTGATTTTTCAGATGATCTGAGCAGATTTTTAAGGGTTCTTGGTGGAAATTTGTTGGAGTCCAAAAACATTGAGCAATAAATCAGTGGCAGCACTTGATGATTTCCTGCCCAAAAAAAAAAAAAAAACCAGAAAAAGTGGTAAAGATTTTAGTTTAGAGCGACATTTGCAGTATTCCTGTTTGACCCTATATAGAGATTCCCATGAAGAAGGTTATGAGAATGTTTCAGTAGAAAATATAATAGTAGAAAAAGTTTTTTAAACAAAATCAAATAGTGATTGCAAAATTTTAGCAACAGGCCATAAGAAATTTTGACAAAAACTACAACCATTGCGGCTGACATACTATACAGTCCCACTCTCCCAGAGGGAGCTATTAAGTTGATACAAGTATAATTTAAAGAGGATGAGTAAATGCATTAGGCCAGAAAAACAACGTAACTTCTCTGTGAATATAAGACATCTAATCAGTAGGATCAACTAAAACTTTAACGTAACTTTCAAAGTTTCCACCTTTTCTTCAGCTGAAAAATAATTTCCAACTGCTACCAATTTTTTTATTTGACCTTCCTAACATAGGCTAATCAAAACCATTAGTAGACAAGCAACCTTGTTGGCTAGAATTATTAAAAGCAGAGCATTAGAAGCATATCAACAAGCAAAATATGGAGACCGAGCAACCTATATTGTTCTCAGTCATGTGGTCAAAGGGGAAGAAATTAAGTTCCATCTATATCCAAATCAATCGACAAATAATCTGCCAATAAACAGAACCATCAAGTAACTCTAACTTTCTGCTTCCATTTCCCAATTTGAACTTGAATAAATCAGCATATCTCAAGCATCAATTTTAGAATTGTACAAATACTATAAAGAGTAAATTAACATGAAAACTACATCACGAAAAGGAGTTTTAAAGAGGGCTCAGAATAGAAGAATCGAGGTATAACAACTGATGCACACTGATGAACTCTTTTGATAAACTTTTCTCTTTGAAGCATTTTAGCAGACAATTGATGGGCACTGTAATACGAACTGATAGATTAAGCTCCATATCTCGTAAGTCTTTCTCCAGACAACAAAACCCATATCATACCAGCTAACTCTCAAATTGCAAATTTTTTAGGCTTGGGGGGGGGGGGGGAAAGAAACCCACACTTTTCAGAGCGTCGAAGAAGATGGTGTGGAACTTTAAGCTGCTACACACAAGAATGACCAAACGTCGAGCTACCCCACAAGAGAAAGACAAGCTTCAAAGCTAACCATGGCGACGGCAAGAATGAAACGAGGAAAAATGGGTTTCATAAGGGGGTAGAGGAACGACGAAGTTGAAGGTGAGTTACGTGACGGTGATCGAAGGAGAACTGAGAACGAACATCGGTGGGTCCGCATGCTCTGTACAGCCAGGGCGTTTGCGCATGAAGTATTCATTTTTTTTTTTAATTAATTTTTTCTTTTTTAACCAATGGTGGTTGGGCCGAGATCCAATCATCAGAATTAATTCTTTACAACGTAAGGAACCGGTGCTCTAATTCTTAGAATTTGATTATGTCTCAAACAAAATTACATCTAATAAGAAAATATTTGTGCCTAACCAAAAAAAAAAATATTTTTCTTTATTTGTGTTAAGTTATATCTCGTAATCAAAAAATTTTTTTAGTGGTGCCAATATACTAAATTGATTAATTTTTAATGCATCAAGTATCTTGAACTATCCTAAATTTATTAATTTTTTAGTGCATCCAATGAAGTTTTCAGTATCCTAAATTAATTAATTTTTAATGCATTACATCACCTTAAAGTATTTTTCTAATAGTACTCATTAAGTGTTAAAAAAATACTTTGGATGCACTAAAATTAATTAACTAATAATAGTAGGTGTTACCGAAAAAATATTTTAAAGTGCTAGATATAATTTAATCCAAGTGAAAAAATTAATAAAAAAAATGGATATAGCATTCCTTGCTCATCTTAGGGAATGCAGATTCCATCAATGGCAAGGCTGACTTTGCAAGTGGCAGAGAGCGTCAATACTGTGCATGGGATTCGAAGCCTGAATGGTTGAAGGAGTTGGAGCTGAGGAAGAAGACTGACATTACGACTCTTAACAATATGCATACACACATCTATTCATGAACTTTTAGTCCATATATGCCAAAACTTTTACTCAATATATGCCAGACATTGTACACTTTTTTAGTGCAAAAATACTTATGAACATTTAAAATGAGAGAAAGATATAATTTTTGTATCCTAAATCAACCACCTTCCGATTTAAAAGGGGAGGTTGATGGAGAAAATTATGTTTTTATTGTTACGTTTAGGTTGTTTTGTTGCTTCAATTTTCATTAAAAAAAATGACAGAAAGATGACATTGCCATTAACAAGAGCCTACATTTATTACTTTTTGTGGTGGCCCACACTAATGTCTAGTCTAAGTGTTAGCTTTGAATAAAGGTATAAATCTACCCATTATCTTTTATTCAATGTGTGCCATATATCATAAACTTTTCTCACATGCAAAAGTATCTATAAATGTTCAACATGGAAGTAAAAATTATACAATCATTAAGTTAAGTTAGCATTAATAATGGGGTTAATGTTGTTTTTTATTTTTACACTTTGTCTTTATTTTGATTTTGGTCTCTAAAGGTTAGAGCCAGTATTTTTGGTCTCTCAAGTTTATTATATTTAAAACCATTAATCCCTATAGTTTGAAATGGACTTGAGGGTGAAGTTAATAGTCTTAGGTTTTCTTATGTCGCATTAACACCATTAAGTTTACTTATTTGAAGAACTAATGTGGAAGATGACGTGGCAAAATTAATGAGTAATCAAATAAAAAACCTTGACTTGTAAAACAAAAACTTTAAAACACAAGCACAAGTCGCACTCACTTACTGATTGAGAAAGCAATTAAAGGAAAAGGAAAGGAAAAAAGGGTCAGGTTAGGGTAAGAAGGGCTCACTTTTTGGAGAAGTTTGACCTCACCGCCACTGACAATCAATGTTGTTGGCAATCATTTAGTGAAGGTTTTTGTGTGCCATGTTTTCTTTACTAGTTTTCGTAATGTACAGTTATCTTGTTTTCTTTATCTAAGAGATTTTATGATGCTAGATATGAAAATCACTAACCTATCTTTGTTGATGCTTGTCATCTCTACAAAAAAACAGCTTCAAAATAGGGACATCTCCATGTATAGTTTAGAAAGTGGATATGTTTCTTTCTTTTTGGTTATGACTATCTGAAGAGTGTAAGCAAAAGAAAATAGACATGGATGAAGCTAATGAGAAGAATAGGAACCTATCTTCTTCCATGAAGGCTATGAGAAATAAAGAGCAGCGAGAATCTACCTCATCAAATGGGGGTTAGAATTACTCATGAGTTAGAGGAACTGTTGTTATTGCTTCTTAATCAGAAAAAAACTTGCCAAGTGTGTAGAACTATAGAGCTGTTGCAATATTTCCTTGAAAAGAAAAAAGGCCTAGCTGTTAAAAGGAAAAGTAAAGACAAAATTGGATGAAGAAAACTAGTAAGAAAAACATAACATACAAAAATCGTTACCGAACAATCGTCAACAATATTGATTACCGATGACATTATGGTCATGCATCTTTTGTAAGTGGGTCCTTTCTTAATCAAAACTCCATGTTTTTTATTTACTTACTCATCAACTTTGTCATAATACCTTCCATGTCAACTCTCTAAATAAACAAACTTAACAGTGTTAATACCATATAAGCAAACTTAACATTGTTAACTCCAACTCCAAGTCCTTTCCAAACTATAGGGATTAACAATTTTAAATAAAATAAACCTGGGGGACCAAAAACATCAACCCAACTTTAGGAATTAAAACTAAAATGAAGAGAGTGTAAGGACCAAAAATAGTATTAACCCTCAATAATATTTAGCACTTTATCAACTTATGAGCCATTAGAATCATGTCAAAAACCAACATTTAAAGTTTTTCCTTAAAACTTGTTGATCATTTTGATTATTATTGAAAATTGTTAATCATCTTGATTATTATTAAAAAGAGCTTTTCTCATGACACAAAATATAAATCATTGTAAAGAAGTTAATCATAGTAGAAAAGAATTAAACTTAGTTTTTGAAAATCCTACTATGGTTATAAAGAGTCGGCTTACTACAATGACTAACCTTAATAGGAGAAAAACCAATTATAACAAAAGCACTATCATGGTCAAAAAAGGATTTGACCTCAATTATCGTTTTTCAAAAAATCATACGTTCTAAATCTATGAAACAACACATAAGACTCAGGGTACACAAGAATGCTTATAAGCGTAACAACAATTACAATAAGCCTTAAGGCACAACAACTACCCACAACTTATCACAAACATCTATCACAATAAGATCTAGGGTTAAGCCTAACCCATAAGTTATATATCTGCTCAATTTAAATAATCACAACACAATTGAAAACATTAACATATAAGTTTTTCAAAGTAAATCAAGTGTAGATTCACACAAAAAAATATACATCAATTATGGACTCTTTCTAACATCACTTTCCTAAAATCTAGTTATCCAACATTAAATAAAAGTAAGTATATACCAATTACAAAAGCATGTGCGCTAAGATAGAAATGTACATATCAATACAATCCCAAGCCCTAAGAGACCCACCAGGCAATAGTGCCTATACCTCTGGTTGCTTTTTTTTTTGCACCAAGTCCAATAGGATGACTCTCTTAAAAATAATGAAGAACAACAAGGTTAGACAATTAAGTCTTAGTAACCACAAATTAATTTACAACTTATACAAGCATGATGATAAGTCAATGAAATAGTGTCATACATAAATATCATAAGTCATAAAACATATAAACATAGATGTAATAATCAGCATTATAATTTATGCCCTCCCGTTTATCATACTCCTTCTTATAACTCTTCAATATGGACCCAAACCACTCATACTGAGTAACCCGGCCAAAGGTTACCCAAATTACTTTGGCTCAACAAGTCCCCTCACCTACACCTTATGGTTCAACCAATGCTCAAGAAGTATTAATCCATGTTGTGTTGACTTCAAAAACAAGTCATCCACCACATAGTAAATCCCAATCTCTATTCATAAGCCCAATGCATGATCATAATATAACAATATTGTCAATGTAGGATTCATTATGAAAAAAAAATATTTTTCTCAATTCACAATAAATACTAGAACTTCACTTCATAACATATCACAAGACTGCTAATACAAGTTCATAAATTCAAGTCAACATACTTCCTATTTTACCAAAGTTTAGTATATAGGGAAAAAACATAATTTATTCCTAGACATAATTTTCACAATTCAATTGAATAGAAAAGGTAGAGAAAACATCTTACAATCCATGTCATATATATAAAACAATTTAAATTAACCTTGATTACCTTAACTCTAAGTTTAACACTAGCATGAGCATAAAGGCACTGATAAGTCTCATATTTTACATATATCCTTTTATCCAAACTTATGTTTTTATAGCTCATAATTGTGTATTTTGAGCCAAGTTAGAGGTATTTGTGCATTGATTGCATAAGAGTTAATTGTGTGCCTTTATGTGCTAAATCTTATAACTTTTTTTCATTCTTTGGCTCTTGTGTATTTTATATACTTCAGACTATATGACTATGAGTTTTATTTAGATCATTGTAGGTATGTACAATGTCAAAAGTCAAAGCAGTCTTGCTTCTGCATTCAATATTGTGGCGCATTTACTGAGTTATCACAATGAATGATCTCATGAAAAAGCACAATGTCATTAATTCAAACGACATCATTTTGTCAAGACATCATAATGAATGTCGAGAAGCACCTCGACAAATGATCAAAATCTCGTGTAAATTCCAAATAGGTGTGAATTCCATATTCATCTCCATTTTTATCTTAACCTCATCTAGATCAACCTCTCTTCATTCTCTCTCAATTCCTATCACCTCTTCAAACCATTTATGCTCTAATCCTTCCATTTTCCTATCACCTCTTCAAACCATTTATGCCCTAATCCTTCCATTTCCACTGGTTAATATGCTTAGTTTTACTTTTTTTTTCATCAATCTTACTCCTCTCCATTAGTTTCCATGGCTATTTAAGTTGCTAATTTGGTTGTAGCTATAATTTCTATTATGATGAGCTAAACTTCAATTCCTTGGTGTTTAATAAAGTTAACTTGGGTTCTTGGAGCTATCTTAGGAGTTTCTTCTATCTTAATCTTAGTTTCATTCATTTGTAAATATGGATTATAATGCTAGGGTACTAGATTTTGATTTGTCGTTATGACTGGAATGTAATTCGATTGATTTGCATTAGGATTAAGATTTGATTTGTGTTTTTCACTTTAATCGATT